CTAGAGATGTTCGCTGGTTCGTGTGTGATGTATCTGTGTAGGACGCAGAAGAGCGTCACCCTGTCTTCGACGGAAGCGGAGTACGTGGCGATGTCTGATGGGATGAAGGAGGCTATTTTTCTGCGGTATCTGTGGAAGTTTATCTTTCCGGGCCGTGATGTGGGGTGCACGCCGGTGTGGGAGGACAACGTAGGCGCTATTCACTTGGCAAGTAACCCGGCTACTACTCCCAACTCGAAGCACATCGACATCCGCCACCATTTCATCCATGAGCGTGTAGCACGGGGGGGTTCAAGGTAGTCCACGTACGGTCGGACCTGCAACGCGCGGATTTCTTGACCAAACCGCTCCCCAAGGAGACTTTTTGCGCGCATCGTGACTTCGTGATGAATATTCGTTGATTTTGTTCTTGGTGTTGCACTATTTCAGCGATGGGGCCTTTCTTGCACCATGTGTTTTATTTGTGACCTGGTACTGGCCTTTGATCTGCTGCTCGATGTTGATTTCTGCTTTCGCGATGGATGGGATAGTTCTGCGTGAGAATCATGGGCGGGGAAGTATTGTTCCATAATCCTAGTCGCAGGTGGTTTGTCTTAGTTTTGATTTTTTCGGGATGAATGATGCAGCAGGGGGGCTGTTGGATTGATTGATTGATTTGATTTTGACTTCATGTTCAGGATGGAATGGATGTTACAGCAGGGGGGCTGGTGGAGTGGTTTCTTTGTCAAGGTATTGGATGTCGGAGAGAGGGTTTGGCATGTTCTTGTAGTTTGAACTGGCCATTGAGTTGAAACATGAATATTTATCTGAGGAATGAATTTGTTCTGAGTAGTCAGGACGTAAGACACGTTTTCCCGGAGTTACCCGTCCTCCCCGTTCTGACGTGANGAGTGGTTTCTTTGTGAAGGTATTGGATGTCGGAGAAAGGGTTGGCATGTTCTTGTAATATGAACTGGCCATTGAGTTGAAACATGAATGTTTATCTGAGGAATGAATTTGTTCTGAGTAGTCAGGACGTAAGACACGTTTTCCCGGAGTTACCCGTCCTCCCCGTTCTGACGTGATTCTGATGGAACGTTGATCTTTTTGCCGGGTATTTTCCAAGGGTGATTGTTCGTGTTTTGACTGCTTGAGAATTGGGTAGAGCACTTTTCTCGAGAGGGTGATTTATTTTTCTTGACAGACCTTTTAGGGGTAGAAGTTTGACATCACAAGGCTTGAAAGCTTTGCAGGACGNCCGAGAGGGTGATTTGTTTTTCTTGACAGACGACATTATAGGGGTAGAAATTTGACATCAAAAAGGTTTGAAAGCTTTGCAGGACGTGTTCTGTTGGAAGATCCGGCGATTTCGTGGGACATGTTCTATTGGCAGAGTC